TCCTGATTTGTGTATTTTTGGAAGTAGGTAGAAGGTAGCTGGTTGAGATTCTTGTGGTGAGTTAGGCACAATTTGTTCATGCATGTTTACAGCAAGGTTTTTCATGATTTTTTTAAAAAAATTCCTTTTGGTATTGGTGGTTGGATCTATGGTAAGGACCTGGTAAAATGTAATGTTGAATATTTGAATGTTTTATTGGTGATTTGTGTATTTCATTCTGCATTCATTTTCCCCCTTATGTTTGAAGAAGTGGACATCATCCACGAAAATTAACATTAAAATATAATAGTCTTTAATGTGCCATGTTTTGTACCATGTTTTTTGTTTGTTGTTTGTTTGCTTGTTGCTTTTTGTTTCATTTTGTTTATTTGGATTTTGCTGTTTTTTGTTTGTTTGTTTGCTTGTTATTTGTTTCATTTTGTTTATTTGGATTTTGCCTAATATGTTTGCATAAATAACATGGCTTCCTCTTCTAAAACTACATAAGCAGCATATGCTTCATTCATAAACTATAGGTTTGTTTGAAGAATTGAATTGCTCCTTTGTGATTAGATTGTCAGGGTAGAAGTGGAGAGGTAAAAAACACAACTGATAGATTACTAAATGGGACAGTTCCATTGGTTGTTGGTCCTTTTCTAATCTCAGTTAACACTGGCTGTCAATCCCTTTCTAATCACAATCACAAGTAATAATAGTAGAACTGCAGAGCTGGAAGGCACCCTATAATCACTGGGTCCAGTCCCGTCAAGGATGCACAACAGTGCTGGTCCTTTTTTGAAATCTCCCGTCAAGGGCGCACAACAGTGCTGGTCCTTTTTTGAAATCACCAAACAACTTGGGCCATAAATATCAAACAAAGCAACAGGTTCCATGTATACCTGAGCCAGCATGGAATAGTGTCCAGAGCAACATTCTCCCACCTGGTAGTCTCCCAGTGTTTGGGGCTACAATAGCCACAATCCTTCATCATTGGTGTTACTGGCAGGGGGATAATGGGAGATGGTTAGAATGTTTGATTAGGACAACTGGGACTAGATTTCAAATCCTCTCAGGATAACCTTGGATAATCACTATTCATGCACTTCACACTGACATTATGGGCCTAGCAAATGGGAAGAAGATCTATATACGTATATCTATTTAAAGGAGAAATTGTGTCCACAAATTGAAGAGCAGTAACATCAAAAGAACACCAGAGGCTCAGAACTAAAAACCAAGTAGAATAAGAATGATGTTACTTCCCAATGAAACACCTTGACAAATGGGACTAGCCTTGCCTGCTCTAGGAGAGAATTCCATTACTAGAGACTCCCACTGAAAAATCCTTCACATTACTTCCCTCCAAAACACTTTTGCTGATGAGTTATACAACAATGGAAATGTCCACCTCTGGGCAGATTCATCTGGAGAACAGAGCTGTTCGGTTACATTGGTTCCAATCTGTTTGTGGTTGGCTAGCCCCTTGAATTACTGCTCTGCAAGAGGCAAACAATTTTTTTAAAAAAATCTCAAAATATCATAAATTCACCAAACCAGTTATTAGAAATGCTATAGAAAGCTGCAAAGTTAATCCCTTATTCTTTAAAATCCCTTTCTTTATCTACATACTCTTAAAAATCATATTTTCCCCCCAAGGCCTAATTTTCCTCATCTCATTTTGTTGTTGGAAAGGTCTAGTGGCACTCCATCAGAATATCAAATCCATTTAAGCAATTATTGAGCAAATAATATTTTAACCTTCATTCTGTTGATTAGCTTGTCGGTCTTCTCCAGGGAAGTAGCTTTAATAATTTCAAGTACAGACACAACATTTGTTTTTGATGCTGGGTGCTCTGGCTGTCATAAAAATGATCAGAATTATGTGTCCAGCTGAGTGTGGATAGTTTGATAGAGAATGTAATATAAATCAGTATTACAGAAAGATTTATTTTATATCCATGCCTGTATTGTGGCAGCCATAGCTGAATGGTAGAATCAATATATTTCCGTCAGCAGCCCCTAAGAAAGGCCCAAATAATTCCAGTGTAAAAGATACAAAGCTGGAAAAGACCAAATGAGTGGAATGACATAAACAGGCATAAGAGACATTACCAAACTAAATGGACAAAATGGTGTGAGGAAGCTTCAGACCTTATTTATATGACCTTCAGTTTTGATCTGCCAAATTAAGTCCTATGAAGAAGGCTAGAATCATAGACTGACATAAGCAGTTCAAATAAAATGCACCTAGAAATCCTTTTTAGATCATTGTGATGCCTCATATTTACTGCTTAAAAATCACAATGGACTAACTGGATGTGTTAAAATGTCTCACAGATTTTTATCATCATAAGAACATGAAACAGCAAGGCATGGATTTAGAACTTAATCTGAAGCTGGGAGAAACTATGCTACTTGAGGTATAGCAATGCCTTAGCAAAAATTTCTTGGCCGAAATCTTACTGGTTTCTTCTGCTAGTGTAATACTGTAGTTGGCATGAATCTCATTGATAACAGCATGTCTATTAGGAATGTGCTTCAGCTTCAGAACTTATTCAGATTTCAAGCAAAGTTGGGATATTTGTCCATTTCTGAAGTGATCCAAAGCAAAGTGGGGAAGCTTGAAGCAGCGCTCAGATCAAAATAGGCCTGTCTGAAGCACAAAATATTGCTTCAGCTCTTCAGGATTTTTAAAAGCTGATTTGAAAAAAAAAACCCACAACTTACCTTTGAAAAAGAAAGTAATGCTTTTACAGAACCAGGGAGCCCAAAACTAGAAGCACATTGACAGCACAAATGTAAATAAGAAGCCCAGGTTCTCCTGGAAACACCACCCATAGAACCCATAGGAGGAAATTATTTTCTCCATATGATGGATGGGCATTTTGGGAGGGCAGCATGCTAAGAACAGAGAGAGAGATTTGCAACACTTTCATTTTCAGGAGGTAGGAGGACTTTTCTGTGTTTTTAAAGTGCGATCTCAGACCAATCAATTGGGTGTCTCTCTGTGTATGAAATCTGTGCCATTGTGTGGGATCTGAGTGAGGCAGGTTGCAGTCATGTTAGGAGTATTAGCTAAATTTCCTGAGTCCTGGTGATAGGGAAGGAAAGAAAGAAAATGGTAAGAACTTTGCTTGCATATTAGAGGTCAAACATTCATTTCTGGAACTGATTGTTACCCCCATCAAAGCTGGCTGGAAAGCTTTGATGAGGCCTGGTCTGGTCTATATATGATATCCCTGGCCTGGTGTATATATGAGCTACATGCTGCAGTCACACTGAGAGCATAGTCTCATGGAAAGCTGCAAGTGCATGTCCAACAACACAAAGTGGGCAACACCTTTAGAGATATGCAAGTTGGAGTATAATAAAAGATTCAGTAGTTGAGCTCCTGCTTTGAATAACTGCTCTTTGATTCCTAGATTTGTGCTTGAATTTAAGCTAGCCAATTACTCATTACAAAGCCAGGTTTCCAGTGGAAGTGCTGGTGGAAGAGGAAAACGTGACTGAAGAGTTTTCGTTAAGTGAAGATTGTCCATCCAACTTCATGTGATGGAAACCAGTATTTATTTGAATGAGGTACTGGGAGAAGACCTTTTGAATTTGCACAAAATGCTCTTGGGCTGTCTTGCTCGTTGTTTATTTTCTAAGAAGGCCAGTTTCTGGTGGTTCACATGTAGGAATTTTCACCTATTAATCTCAGAGCTATATTAAACTCTTCCTGCCCTTTTTGTTTGGGCACAAGAAGCTATTTACAATTGAGTAGGTTGACATATTTCTCCTCACAGGAAGCGGAAGAAGAATGTACAACTCAGAAGCTCTCTCTGTCTAATTCTCATTGTAGCATTAGTTGACCAAGGGACAAATTTTCATCTGCAAAGCATTAGTTGATAAAGCTACCAAATAAAGGCATGCAGATTGCAAAATTCGTCAAAACTCCTGTGGTATCTAACTTGAATTAGCAATTCTTCATCTTTAGAACTGTACAGTGTACAGGTGGGTGACCCGTTCAGGCACTTAATTCTCCCTGTATAAGTAGATTTATCCCATTTAATGGAAGAAATGATGCACAAAGCTACAATCATGCTTTAGTGCTTGACTGGTTTGATAGAGCTAGAGTATTCAATCTCTTTTAGAGAGGAGGAGAGTCTTTGATGCTGAATGGCATGGGAATAGATGGATTTTATTTTTGACTTAACACTGACATACATCAGAGGAATTGCAATTATCCATTTTCTTCACCAGGGTGTACTAAATATATACTACCCTTCTGTTATGAATGACTCTGGCATGCCGGAGCACCATACAACTGTATGGAAGAACAGCAGCAAATATATAGATGTGCCAAAGTCATTCACAACAGAAGGGCAGTCCCACAATTTCCTTTAAGAGAATCTAGGAGGGGATTGCAGGACCACATCAGGTAGCCCTACATACTGACATGCACTGTGCTCACATCTTGCTTGGCACAACCCTTGCTGTTGTCTTCATGTTTAGCCAGTATGAAATAAGTTTGACATGTCTACTGATGTTCCTCCACAAAGGCAAAGAATTGGCCCAGTCCAGGTCCCCCATGCATGTAGGAACTCTGCCCATCTATAGGGATGGGGCTCTTCCCAACATCACTTCAATGTACAGATGTCAGAGAAACTTTTCCCCACATCTAAAAAAAGGCCACTTTGGCACATAAGGAATTAAGTAGATAGAACCAAGTCAACCATGAGGCTCACTGGAGAGCCCTGAGACTTTCACGAAGTCCTAATGCAATTAGATACTCTTCTGAGCAGAGGAAAGGGGAAGACTAGAAACCTTCCTTCAGACACACATCCATAGAGTCCATTATGGATGGATGTTTGAAGGAATTAAGGCTGGATTAAGACAAGAATATTAGGAGCTGGATTGGTTCTGTTCCGGATGATAGAGTGCTAACAATCCATAAAATAAAAGGCTCCTCCTTTCAAACTGTGCCACTGCCTGATTCAGATTTCTTAAATGATGTCCTTCTGTGTCCTGTTTCCCAGGTCTATGTACAAACTACAACACTTACAATATCCATGAACTTAAGTGCTTCAGTGGCCCTGGGAATGCTTTACATGCCGAAAGTATACATCATCATCTTCCATCCTGAACTCAATGTCCAGAAGCGGAAACGCAGCTTCAAGGCAGTGGTGACCGCAGCAACCATGTCATCACGACTTTCGCACAAACCTAGTGACAGGCCGAATGGGGAAGCGAAAACAGAGCTTTGTGAAAACGTCGACCCAAACAGTAAGTAGTCCTAAACACATTCTTTTCTTTTCTCTCTCTCTCTCTCTGTGTTTTAGGAACTGTGTAGCTGTATAAGTTCTTGTCTCCTATATTGAAGATTATGTACACACACATAAAAAGATTTGTTCATCCCTCTGGGATATTCTTTTTATGACATTCATCCATTCTGTACATCATTCGGCTTTATATATCGGGAGCAGTCCCCCTGCATTTAGGAGAAAGGCAGGGTATAAACATAAATAATTTATTTTTAAAAAAACCACAAGTAATTCTTCTTTATTATCTACTTCTTTTTTAGGAGTACCTTTCTAAGTAGAGCAGTATTCTAGAATAATTGACCCCAGTACTGACCCCTCAAATATGTCTCCCAGGTATAACCTAGGGCTTTAAGTGGAGAGGTTGAATACCAGCTGTGTGATCCTTCTTCCAGGACCTGATTTAGAGTAGGAAGGCTCACATTCAAGATGGAGGGATACCAACTTTAATATTATCACTTTAACTTCAAAATCACATCTTTAAAACAAAATTTCCAACTGATCCATCAGTGATCTAGCCACTTGACTGCTATGCAGGCCACAATATCTCTGTGCTACAAGTGAGGAAACAGGAACTTAAACCATAGCTAAACATATCTTGCAGAGCTATGCCATGTAACTTGCACAAGTGGTACCCATAATTGTTCCAAGGTGGAAATTAGATCCTCAAAGCAGTTCTGCATATGTATTTCACAGCTAGTCACATAGTGAATTGCACCATTAATTCACTGTGCAATCAAATGTGGCAATGCAGACTGCCTGGACATAATATCTTGCAAACTGCTGATGTTGTAATTTTACGTTTTCCCAACTGTGACTGCATTTCAGCCCATGTCTTATTTGATTTGAAGAGTCCAAAGTCCTATTGGTGAGTCCTGCCTGCTCAATGGGTATGGCACTATTTCCATTGTGCAACAGGTTTTCATGTAACTCAGCCAGTATTCAGTATTTCATTTGTAACCATGACACATTTCTTCTAGCAGTAAGAGACAGATGAAAATCTGACTATGCTTAGTCAAAATCCATTCATTTAGAGAGCATTTTGGTAATCTGTGGTGGGAAAATATTGCTGACCCTTAACCAAAAAGACCCTGAAACAAAATGACACCAGCCCTTCAATGTCTTCAAAAAAGAAAACAATCTTGAAGTTTTTGTAGTGTGCACATTTGTCTAGATTGATTACAAGCTAGATGACGGACGAACAATTTTGATTGATAGTTCTAATGACAGGCAGGGGGCTCTGGCTAACTTCAATATTATACATAAATGCAAATTTGATGCAAATTATATTGAAAAACGTTTTAGTAGGTGATGATTGTCTTCATTAGAGAAGCATCTTTATGCTCTGCCTACAGTTCATTCGCATTTGTCAACAGTTCCTGGAATGCCATATATATAATATATAAACTACATTTTTATACATATAAACTTAGTTTATTCCAGGAAACAACTGGATAAGTTTAAAAAACTGCCTTTTGAGCTCTACCCTGTGGAATTGCCCAGCTGCCTCATCAGAGAAGTCAAAAATCCATTGTAGTGTTCATATTATTATTTTTTTAATAGTCAAAAGTGTAAGCCAGTCATATGAGCTTGGCTTAGAACTGGCAACCCCATTATTAAATTTGCATCTCTATGCTAGTGCATGCTCTTGGAAGATAATTTATAAATACTGTATTTAAAATAATAATAGTAATGCCTGGGTAAAGTGCAAAGTCGTCTCCCTCATGATGCCTGAAGACTACATTATAACTGACTATTTCATAGGTAAAGTATGATTGAGAGGATACTTTTTCATTTATCATCTCATACTTTCCCTTGTTCAGTGGAGTGTAATTCCTTAGAGCAATGGTAAGAGCTGATTTATGTGTTTGGTGCTCTCAAACCGCTATGTGAGTTTTAATATGACTAAAGCTCTCACGATAAAACATGTTGGAATTATCGTGTTTTGTACATGTACTATGCTGTCTTTTTTTCTGCATGAACATCAGTTGTAACCTATCCCCATTGTCTGATTATTAAAGTGTATTGTTTCTTTATTTGATTTCTCATGAAACCAAAGTTGAAAATGTTTGTCACAGTTCCAAACTATGTAGCAACACCAATGTAACAAAAAGGATGAAAAAAATCTACTTTATCCTGTTTTTCTGTATTTACAGGGACAATGTTTTTTAGAATTCAAACATATAGGCTATTACAATGTTCAGCAGTAGTTCCTTTCATGCTTTCTCTATGCTGAAAACGAATACATTTGTCCATTTTGCTTTCTACTACTTTCAGAAGTTTTTGACACAAGTTCATTCCATTCCCATTTTTTCATCAATTGGTAAATTCTGGCCAAAAATCCTGCACAGTGACAAATTCAAACACATTTTTGTTTGTATTTCTTTTAAGTATATTGATTTTTCTGTGGTTTATTCTAAATATTATAAACTGCTATACGTATCTCTTAACACGATTTGCGAAGAGGGAAGTGTGTTGCAAAATTCAGAAAAGTGTTGAAAGCTAAAGGAGAATTGCATTCTAGTTTGCACATTCATTGGGCAATATGGATTTGGCCAGTCCATATCATACAAACAAAATGAATTTCATCACCACCCAACCCTGTGTGTGCATTCAGCAAACATTTGGAGGAAGAATGGGGTGGCAGTGGTCTCCTAATTCTGCCTCCATCTTTTCTTGTGTAATCAGAAGTCTAAAAAAGTTGTAGCTGGGCACATACAGAACTGGGAATTCCATACCACACACACAGGGTTCCTTCTTACACAGAGCACCAGTAGTGGTATGTTTGGTCGTGCTGTATGTGGGGAGAATAAATGCATATGGATGGGGAGTAACTAAGGCCTAGCCTTCCATTGTTGCTCTCCACATGTGGACATCACTGTCTGGAAAGTGGGAAACTGTTCTACCCTTGTGATTTCTCTGGAAGATCCGAGACCTATTTCATGAGGAGAGCTGTTAAGCATTGGGGAAGCTCTCCTCATCAGAAAATAATTACCTACATTAAGGACAGCAAAGATGACAATAACACAGGAGTTGGAGTTAGCACATTGTAGAGATGTAGATCCTTGGTTGTTGAGAATAAAGCAAAGAAAAACAACAAGCCACACCTCATTTATTCCTCCTCTCCTTCATGATAGCGAGAGTTTTCTTTGTCTTCTTGATTGAGGCTTCTCACATTTGCAAGAGCAACATTGAATTTTGTGCAGAATGAGATAGCTGTTACCTTGTTGCACAGAATTTTAAGAAGCAGAAGGATTGGTTGGTTCATATCTTTCTGATCAGTCAGCTTCTCATTTTGTACTTACTGGGTTTATGTGTATGTAGCTTCACAAGGGGAGAAAAAGAACGATTTTGTGTAGATGTTTTGTGAAACCTGTAGAAAAGCCAACATAGGGAAAAATGTGCATGTTCCCATCCTTATACGAGAGGCAAGTATTTTCCCATTTTCTTGATACGTGTCTCAGCCAAGAAAGTGAAATGAGACTTCTTCACATCCATAGCATGCTTCCCCTCTTTGTGTACTTATTCTCCACATTTACAGAATATCAGAACAGATCTCAAATTGGCAGTTGTATACGCCTTGGTGTCTATTTTCAGATCATCAGCTCTAGACATGTATATTGCAGGACGGTGGGGCTGGTGAAGCCTGTGAAATCAATAGCTGTGGTTCTGCTCACCCATATGCCACCCAGTTATGGTACATGTGGATAAAGTCTGAAAGGGCTACTATCTCACTAGCACTTGATAAAACCAAAGCAAGCTGTCAATAGTCGGCTGTGCTCCATCAGAGCACTACTGGGAACTGTTTTGGTGTAACTCAAATCATTTCAACATCTCTTATACAGAAATGAAGACTTAATTTAGACACTCTCTCTTGTGTAAGAGTAATATTTGGTTTACATGGGTTTCTTTTAGATGTTTAGTGGGATGATAGTGGATAACAATTTTTTCCTTCACTTAATGAAAATATGAGATTTTATGTTTTGTGTAAATGAATACAAGAGGAGATTCATGTACCTCCCAACATTGGGGTGTTTGGTGACCAAAAATTAAGAAAGCTAAACATTGGCCATCTGTGCTTACTTATTGCTGTGAATTTAAGATTATTTTTAATTTATTGCTGTTGTATGCAGCTTTCACAATAATTGCATTATGTTAAGAGGCAACAGCAAAATGGTTTGTTGAAACATAGGCTGCAGGTAAAGCTCTAGAAACAGAACATCTGACACTAATGAGAGCAGCAAAGGATCACTATCTTATGAATTACTGTGCCTTCATTTTGTATTTCTGCCATCTCAGATAGAAGACTATATCAGCAAAATACCATAGTGTCATATTGGAAATCTCAGTTTATTATTTTTCCAGAACTGGCAATCAATACAAAGGAAGGGGAGTGGAATTCAAAGAAATGGTGGTCAGAGGTGCTCCTGCTTATAAAATAAATTGCTTCATACAGGGGTTGAATGGCTTGCTGCCCTCTTCTCCCTCTGATCCTTCAGCTCTTTTCATTCCTGAGACTTTGCAGGCAAATCGGTTGCCATGCATGTTTTGCTTTGTAAAATGAGCCCACTAACACCCTTGGAAGATGCTGTGTGATGATTCAGTGCCACTGTAAGGTATCAGACAAAGATGTTGGTGCATCTGTAGCCTACCTGTAGGACAGCCGTCTTTTCCCATGCCCTCATCATAAGGCTACATCACCAGAGGTGTTCACAGTCCACTTTTCCCATAGTAGCTGTATCACCAGTGGTCACTTAGCCAAGCCGTGCTCCGTTTTTACAGACTAAAAAGCCATTGAATCCTCTTGCAATACAAACTGCAAATATTTCTAGCTGTAAACTTCCCCTGTCTCAAAAATATACATCTCTAGAGCTAATCTTTGGGTAGTTCCTGCCAACAATTTTCCCACTCTCCAGGTTGAGAAATTTGACGCCAAGGGGCAGTCAATCAAAGAGCAATGGAGAATGAGCTTTACCTGAACCCTATAGTTAGACAGCCTTTAGTGCACTGCAGCAGGAAGAGACTGTGGTTGCTGGACTCTGCCTCTTATTAGTCCCAGCCAGGATGGCCAATAGTGAGGGATTATTGAACCATACTCTGGAGTGCAATGAGTTCCACACTCCACTGTATGACATGAGCTGAGCAACCTACCAAAACAGTAGCAACTCTCAGATCAGACTTATTGAAATATACTAAAACGTTTCCCAATATTTCAAGATTGTTCTGTTGGCCATTCTTATGGTTATCTGCTAATACATGCATTTTCCCCATTAAAAGCTTTGCTTTGCTACCATATGTTTGCATTGTTACTTTTCATACATGTTTGTGTACAGAGGTAGTGGGATTTAAAACTACTATCCAAGGGTATATAGTGAATAGGGTAGAGGGCATGGGCTCACTTTCCATTATGAATTTGTTTGTTTTTCTCTTGTGGGTTTCACTGGTTAGCTTTCAAAGTATTTAACGACGTCATGTATTCATTTGAGTAACAGGAGTGTCTGGTTCCCTCAATGTTTTCGATAGTAATAGGAAAAATTGCCTGCAGAAAACAATTTAACTGAAATTAATGGTTCAGACTTGTTACATTAAGGTTTTTTTTTTTATCTTTCTAAAATCCGCCGGACCAAAGAAGTACTCTATTTTTCTCTAGTAAAAAAAAAACCCTTCCTTTTCCCTATTAGTAGGAATTTTAAGGCATTTACTCCTCAAAAATGTCTTTCCTAAGAACCTCTGAGAAACAAAAGCCTTTTCCCTATTAGAACAACAACATTTTAAAAATCTGTTTGAATTCAGGGCTAATGAAGTTTGTGTTGCTGATGACAAAAGCTGTAAAGGCAGTGAAACATTGGCCCACCTGGTGGGGGTTGGGATGTGAGGCCTTCCTTTGAGACATTAAAACATTCCACCGGCCTAAGTTACCCCCAACCTTTCCTTAGCCCATATGTCCACATACCTCAGATACCAGTGAGTACCAGTAAGCTGTCTGTTTTGACTTCCTTATAAAGCACCAGGCTCCAAAGTATTTTCATTTTTAACTGATTTCTGCATATTTCCTTTTCTGTTTTTCAATATCAGGGGGAAAGAGAGAGAGAGAGAGATTTAATAACTTTCTGCGTTGGCTTCTGGGGAACTTTAATACGTGTCCATAGTCGACTCATTCTGACCTATGTGCTATATAAGAATTCCCCTGCTGAAGGGCATCAGCAATACGTTAGGTGTGCTTTCTATGTTCTAGAAATTGTTAGCTCACAAGCAGGTCGTATTGTTGATGACTCATGCTTCTAATAATCAAAATGTAACTTCCAGAAGATTTCACAACATGGTGTAGCCACTCCTAGTCCTCCTCCTAATGTGTAGGTGTCTCATGGTTGAAGCCCCTGGGCCATAAACCACCAGTACTCAGATGCATTCACCTCGTCCTTTCAGAAAGCCATATATGAGCTAACGTATGCTACTAGCCACATTATGTGTGTTCAGCCAAAGCTCACTTGATGAGCTTCCCACATGCCAGTGACTCAAGTGGAAATAAACACCCAGAAAGGAGTTCAGCAGTATTTCTCAAAGGCAAGGGACAGTTTAGTTAGAGGTATTTGATAGTTTTGTTGTTGTTTAATCATTTAGTTGTGGCCAACTCTTCGTGACCTCATGGACCAGAGCACGGCAGGCCCTCCTGTCTTCCACTGCCTCCCGGAGCTGGGTCAAATTCATGTTGGTAGCTTCGATGACACTGTCCAATCATCTCATCCTCTATATTTGAATATTATGAAATTTGGCAAATTTTGATAAAAAAATAAACTGAAGGGGAATTTAGAGCTACCCTTAGATGATAGACACATCTGTTTATTCCCCCCCCCCACATTCACATGTTATAAATTTTGGTAACTCTGTATTAAAATAAAACAAGTAAACAAAAGTATTGTATCAGATAGAACAATAGCAAAACCACCAAATGTTTATTTAAAAAAAACTGTGAGGTATAGATTTAAACAGAAGAATCTCTTGTTGACCTAGAATTTTTCCACGTCCACACAGAGTTTCATGGTCCATTACATAGGTGCTTTCAGATTATGCACACATACAATGATGTGTGACTGATACTAATAACAAATAGAATTTTGGAGGAATGTAGTGTGAAATATAGACATTGTTTAACTCAAATTATTGGATTTTGCTATCAGCTGCGCAGGTTGACTTATTTGGTAAGAGGTAATGGATACTCACTTTTTTTTTTTTGATCCTCAACAACAACAACAACAATAACAAAACACAAATGTCTTCACTGATTGAGAAACAGGGAAATGTGCCGTGCTGTGAAATTTTCTATTCCAGTTGAGAGAAAGAAAGATTGGCACTTCTTTTCATTATTGTCAGCATTAGCAAAACAAAAACAAAAACAAAAAAAACCTAAACAAAAAATGGCAGTTTCTGCACTATTGTATAAATATGAATGTAAACATGAATGTAATACACAAATGTATTCTGCACCAAAACCTTGAGCTTTGTGCACAAACTTGCATTTTGTGCAAAAACCACTACTAGCATCCCGTTCATTAAATGCAGAATAGAAGGAAAGTATGCAAGCACTTTTATTTTCCTCATAAGCTCCCAGCTGCATGACTGGTCTTGCAACCAGGATAAGAACTGACACACAACAGGGAGTCTGTGTTGCAGGAAACACATACTGCAGTTTCCCTACCACCCGACATTTAGGCAGCAGGATACCAGCCATTGTGTCTTCTGCAAAATACAATGAAAAAATACTTCTGCAGATATTTTAGTGAAAAAGTCCTGAAACAGAAAGAATAAGGAAAAATTGCTATAATCTTGGCCAGCATGGACAAAAGTTTTTCATTCTCACCTTCAAGAACAGAACAGGCAAAGATTTCCATCCTTAGCCTTTGATCAGCATAACTTATACTTAAACAACAAAATGAAATGGATGTCCAGTGCCTCAGAGAATAATTTTGCTATCCCCTGCTGTGAAGTATCCTTAGGAAGATTTGATTCAATCAGTATAGATGTCTTTTAAAAAGAAAAATGAAAAAAAAATTGAAATCCTCTGTGACTCCATCGTTCTCAGGAAAACATACTCCTAGCAATTAAATCTTAATTGAAGATGTTAAAAGGGTTATGAATTTATCTTTTCTGCAGCATCCTGTAAGTGGATGGTGAATGAAGTATGCATGGAGTGAAAACATCTCATATTCTACTTCATAAAGTGAAGTAGACTTTGCTGTGCAAATGCTACTGTGCTGTGCTATGCATTTTGTTTGTTCATTTGTATTGGTTGCTAACATCATTGGCTCGTTGTTGGCCATTTTGCCTTTGGAGAATAGGAATGGGAGAATTTGTTAAAAAAACTGAGTGTTGAGCATCAAGAACAGAAGCATAGCTGAAGAGGATTGGTTTCTAAATCTTTAGGTAGTGCAAACAGTTGCAGGCCTGTCTGGAATGTGTCTTGTGTGTCCCCTATTGTCTGAGCACCTTCTCCTATGTTCCGAGGTACCTGAACCTTTTCACAAAATGACATGTTTGTCGACAGTTTGCTGGATAAGTTCTACATTGACTTATCCCACAGTTTTTATCACATGACTAAACCTAGCTCATAAAAATAAACAATATGGTCTATTTAAGTATCTGGATTACATATATATCCATATATTTACTTTTCCTATAGACTGCATACCACCTGTAAGAAAGAGTGTACAAAAATCTGTTACTTGGTACACTATTCCACCTACAGTATAGCTCTTGCCTGCTTTCTAAGAAGGTAAGATAAACATCTAACTTTTATATGCCTTCATTTAAAAAAAAACTTAATCAAGCTAAATTGTTTAAAATGTACCTTGGCTTTAATGCAGTAAGAGGATAGTGGACTCAAACTGGATAATGGAGCCAAAGTTTGTTCTGATTACATTACATTAACTAACAGCTAATTTAAAAAGGAAATAAAGTGCACATGTAAATCTTAGGGGAAAAGTGAACTAATGTAAACTTACGTAACAGCAAAGAGCTTGGTTCTATTTAATGTTTGCTTCTTTTCAGAAGGTACTCTGCTCCTGGCCATTCCGTCTCCAGTATTAAAAATTAACTCTCTGTTTGACTTTGGGTACATAAAGATGTTAAAACATATGTGAAATGATGGCAAGTATACTGAAAGTATGTGGGAAAATGGAAAGGTGGAACTTGTAGACGAGAAAAGCTGGAGCAGGATGGCTATCCTCCAGCTCAGAACTGTCTTCCTGCCCCTTTAAGAGCTTGACAAATGATGTTACTTCCATAACTAGAGAAACCTCTTTGCTCTTTGAGAAGCGCAGTGAGAAACTGCAGTTATCACGAACTCTTCAGGAAACAGTATATGGTTACTGAATAGAGATGGGCACAAAATGAATTATGAACTGAAAAACCATAACTGTGCTGGTTTGTGGTTCAGTTCATAGTTTGTGCATTCCATTTTGCCAAAACAAAACAAAATGATGAACTTCTTTCCATCCAGCACTTTATTTCAGCAAAATAGATGCCCCACCTCCTTTCTGCTGCCCCCATTACCTCCCCACCTGGTCCTGCCAGCAGGCTGTTTGTTCTCTGCCACTACCGTCTTCAGAGATGGCTTCCCTTCCAGGTTGTATGCATCCAGGCACATACCAGAAATATGGACTGCAAATCAGTTTGTTTTTCTGAGGTTCATGAGTGGTTCATGGTTCATGAGTATGAATGAGCATTTTTCCGGTTTGTGCCCATCTCTGCTACTGAAGTAGAATTGTGAATTATGTGAAACATCTAGTATAGGCTGGGCAACTTCCAGAAGTCTAGAAGCTACTATTGGTCATCCTTTGGAGTATCACACCTCAATCAAAAAAGGAGGGTTCAGGCCTAATTTGTATTGTTGTTTTTTAAATCATAGCTAGCTCCAGAAGATGTTTTAAGCAGGAAAAATGGAGAGTGCATGCTGGTACCTCAGGGGTTCTGTGGGAAACATGTCACGTCACTCCTCCTCTAGTTGTCTTCATGCATTTCATCATGCATTCAGTGAGGAAGGGCCAGGATCATGACTGTTTATATACTGTACTTCTGATTCTGACTTCTGACTGCGTGCTTTGCAAAACTGTATGTTAAGTAAGAGTGGAAAAGGTCCCACTCCTACTTACATTTTTTTTCTTGCTATTAGGAACTTTGGTCTAATCAGCATTCTTGGTGGAGAAGGGAATGTCCACACATTTATGCACATGGCAAGGGAACCATTATCGGAAGCTTTTGATAGGCTGTTCATGGACATGTGTTCATGGTCATGGAATTAGATTGCTACGTATATTCCTGGCTGAAATTCCTTTGGCTGAAATTCCTTTGGTATAATTATACCTGCAGAAGACTGGTGATATCATCAGAAATGAGTAATTTTTAGAAATTAAACACTTCCTACTTCCGTCCTCTTTCTTCCATGCTTCCTGTGTAATCCCTTTCATCCTGTGGAAGCCATAGAAGCTGTTGAATGAGAGGAGGACACCTTTAGTTGCTAAAAATCACATCTGTTGGTAATGTCATCCTGGCAGGAGCAATTTTCCATAATTAAAGACCTCCTCCTCCCATCTAGTGGCTCCCAAGGCTCTCACATGATGAAATAAATTACGTGGCAGCCACAAGACAAAAGTAGGAAGTGTTTCAATTTCAAAAATCTCTCTCTGCTAACGATATCAACCTCTTACATGGCATAGTTAGGCCAACAGGACATCAGCCAAAGAGTTCCAGTTACAAGTACCATATTTTTTCGTTTATAAGACGACCCCCCTTTTCTAACTCTGAATTAGAAAATTTGATCCCTGCTTTTCCCTTTCTTTTACTAAGCCACAGAGCTTAGCAAAAGGAAGGGAAAAGCAGGGATCAAAGGGCTCCCTTTGACCACCATTTTCCCTTCCCTTTTGCAAAGCCCCATGGCTTTAAAAAAGGCAGGGATAAGCGGCTGTCAAAATAACCGCCTCTTTTCCCTGCCTTTTGTGAAGCCCTGTGGCTCTGCCTCCTGCTGCTGCCTTCCGTGCATAAAACAACCCTCAATTTTTTCTCTAATTATTTTAGGGAAAAGTGTCATTTTATACATGGAAAAATATGGTAGTTTTATAATCACTAATCATTTCCTAAATCCACTCAAAAGTGGAGAGGGGGTTGTTTCACATTAAATGACCAAATAGCATTTTCACTGATAGTCTTTGGGAAAAGTTTTCAAGTGTATATAACAGTAATATGTGCTGATTTAACTATAAATTAATTAAATAAATGTTTTGAATATAAACTTAAAATATTATGTATTGCTGATTAAAAAGTTTGTTGAAAATTACATTTTTATTGCTTCAAGTAGTAATGTTTTATATATAATTGTTTTAATAATGAAGTAGTTAACCTCAGCTAGCAAGCTTTCATTTCAACTTTTGGAGGAAAAGGTTGGGAAATATTATCACAAATGTTAAATTTTGAAAATAAAAATATTGATAAACTTATATTTAAATTTTTGTTCATCTACAACATAATAAACCTTACATCAAAAACACCCAAATGGTTCCAATATAGTAAATGGACACATAATAAAAGTTCATCCTTAACAAGATCAAAAGAAACATTAAATTGTGTTTTCAAGAGCTTTTAAAGTGACTTCTTAATACTGTGTCTATGCTTGTTTCCAAAGACACCTTGTAGTTTGGGTAGAATTGAGTGCTTCATTTATTTCAGAGATTGAAAGTAGTTTTTTGAATCATTATTTTTTGTAAATAAATCAGTAGTACTGATTTGTTAAGAATGTTTTCACTTTCTTAAACAGCACTCAACAAATTCTCTTTTTGTTATTCATGTCAACTTTATATGTTGTGTTATAGCATTCTTTTTAAAAAATGGAACTGAAATTCTATTAAAATAGGATTAAATTATTTGATTAAGCCTGCCTTTATTTTTTTTAACCTAAAATCATCAGTTAGAGAGGACCCACTAACTTAATCTGCTATACATAACAATTGGTTGTACATAAGTAATACACAAGCAGTTGTTTTCAAAATGTCTGGTCTAGATGGAACGTATGACTGGACTTAGACCTATATGTGTAATGGAGAGGGAAAGTGAGATATGACTGGCCAGTTGCAGTTATAAGCACCATCTGCCCTGCGCCTTACATTAATGCCCTGAAGAGGCTGACTTTCTGCCAGATGGGCTGACTGGGTGGTGTTTATGGTAATTTGAAATAATCTGTTTCTTTATTTCTGCATAACTGGACAGTGTTCTTCTCAATTTGTTTCCTAAACATCATTTTGTGGTATTGTAATTTCTCTCCTGTGACCTCAGGGAATACTACCAGTCTAAAACATTGTGCAAACTATTCCACCTTGCTTTCCTTAATGGACTTTCTGTGGTAAGAAGAAAGAGGAAGGAAGCTGCAGGAAAATTAGTTGGAGGGCTACAAAGGAAAACAAAGATTATCAGTGTATTCGCAAAGGCTTTCACAGCGGGGATCCAATGGTTGCTAGTTGGAGGGCTACAAAGGAAAGGCTTTCACAACGGGGATCCAATGGTTGTTGTCTGGTCTAGATGGGAAAAACCCACAACAACGAAAGATTATCAGGACTTTCTGAAAAGTGCACTAACGGGATAAAACATTAACATGTTTAAAAAGGAGGGTGGGTTCATAGTGAAGCACCTATGTGTTCACTAACGATTTTGCTTTTGAGAAAGAGAAATGACAGTTGCAAAGCCAGACAGATGGAAGTTCTTGACACATAGCACTAAAACCAGATAAGCACTCCATTCTCCACGAAGAAGCACAGATAATGAGAGATTTTCCTTTCCTCCTAAATATATTGTCTATATAAGCACTTAAACAGAAAAGATGGACTACCAAAAAAAAATCATCCCTCCAGCAACGGTATTTTCAATTATAAAGGTGAAAGTGGAGTGAAAAACGTTGCCTATGTCTCTCTAAAGTGTTGCACCACAAAAGCTTCAGTTTCTCAAGTTTCATGCCAGCAGCAATTTCACTTTCCTTCGATACAGTTTGCCCTACTTTTAAAATAGGGCAGGTATTCACAGCATGGCTTTACCTGTGGTCCTGCACTGTTTCAATTTCTTCAACAGAAATGTTTACTGAAAAGAAGGATGCTAATGAAGGCCACATTATGTCAGTGTGCTCATATAATTGACTGCCTTAAATTAGCCAGTTTTTCAGTTGGTGTGCATTATCAAATACTTGTCGATCTTTTAAATAATTTTGACTCTACCTCCCCCATAACAAAATTACCAGCACCAATAGTTCCCATCTGTTTTCTATTTACTGATTCTTCCACTTCACGAAAATGACAGAATGTTTTAATGCTTCCATGGAGCAGTATATGGTTTCATCTAAGAGCAGTAGGGGTGCCTCATCTGAAAATGCAACTGAAATGCAAGTGCAAGGGATTGTCTTTCATGCTCTTACATTTTTTTTCAAACTCTCAAGTGGAAAAATAGAATCACGGAATCATATTGAGTTGGAAGGGGCCTATATGATTGAGAGATACTGGCCTATGCATAAATGCATCAGACATTATCCCATTTCAGCACTTAGCAACAAGTGCCTGAACAATGTTATTTGTCCTGAGTCTAGGACAGAGTCATATGTTGAGTTGCATTCCTCCATATGACCAAGTATTGTATACTCACACCTTCAAACTCAGTTACACTCTCAGATAAGTGTCAGAGACAGCTATGAGAACAATTAGGCTGTTGGGGAGAAAGAATGGTAGCCCTATTCAGCCATTA